AATATTTTACACTTAGCTGATCAGTAGATTAATAAGCCTTTTAAGGCCATGCCAGTGCAAAAATAGATAAATAGTAACAATCGTCTCTTAAAGGACTTGTATTTGTTGGTAATATGCTACATGGAAAGAGTCATCAAAGGTCAGATGTGTGCCGCCATCAACAGTAACCCAAAGGAGCTGGGATTACCATGAAGTTGGGTGTTAGTCTTCATTGTTGGAAACCAGTGCCAGAGGTACCTCGCCTGCCACCAGTTTCTTTCCTGAGGTTATACCTCATGTTGTTTGTGAGCTGTACATTTGTGGTGTCTTGAAATAGCTTCCATAGCAGACTCTCAGTAATTTATTATTCCAACTGTACATACACTCCCTAGATTCCTTAAGTGCAGTGCCAATGCCCTGTAACTCATAAACCATTTCCAGTGATATAAGAGAGCCCAGAAGTACTCACGAGATGTAGAGGGTCAATGGGGGAAAAAAAAAACCTGGAAATACCGAACACTACTTACTTATTGAGTAAAGAATATGGCCACATACAGGCAACAGTTTCTTGACTAGAACTCCAAAATCAAAATCTAACAAGGGGGATTGCATCAAATTAAAAAATTTCTGCACAGCAAAAAAAGCTGACAGATTGAAGAGACGACCTAAGGAAAGGGAGAAAATTTTTGTCAACTACTCATCACATAAAGGATTAATAGATAAAGAATTAAATATATAAAGAATTATATATGTATATAATATATAAAGAATATATAAAGAATTAAAAATAAAACTGACATCAAAATGGAGCAATCCAATTTTAAAAATGGGGAGATGATCTGAATAGATGCCCAATAGATACATGAAAAATGTTCAGTGTCTCTAGCTCCCAGGGAAGTTGCACATCAGAACTACAATATGATTCTGTCTCAGCCCTGTTAAAATGGTTATCATTACAAATAACAACAAAATAATAGGTGCTGGCAAGGATGTAGAGAAAAGGAGCATTTATATACTGTTTGTGGGAATGTAAAGTAGTACAGCTACTGTGGAAAACAGTGTGGAGGTTCCTCACAAAACAAAAACCACCTTGTGATCCAGCAAAGCATGTACCTGAAGGAAATGAAAAGCAACATGCAGAAGACATACCTGTGTACCCATGTTTATTCCAGCTCTTTTCACAATAACCAAGATAGGGAATTAGCCTAGGTACCTGTCATGAAAATATGGTATATACGCACAGTGGAGCATTACTGAGCCACGAAGAACAAAATCCATTCATTTGCAGGAAAATGAATGGAACTGGAGGATATCATGTTAGGTGAAATAAACTAATCACAGAAAAATAAATACCATGTGTTTTCTGTCGTACCTGAAATCCAGGGGAAGACTTGGAAGTAGAGAGGGACTGTAGGGGGCTGGGAAGTAGAGCAAGGAGGAAGGATGGACATGATTGTGCATACATGGAAATGTCATAGTCTGTTAATTTGTACAATTAATATGTGTTAATAATTATAATAAAAACAAAAGTTTGGCCACGTGCCAACACCCTTATGATTTTAAGTAATTGTCACAGGAAAAGATAATCTACCAACAGCAGTAACTATTATTCAACTGAGTTTATTTTATAACAGTTGTTAACAAAAAGTTGCTGAACTTTCTACACTATATTTATTTTTTTATATAGTCTTAGGTCTAACCTTTTCTTTCTTTCTTTCTTTTTTTCCTTTCGGTGCTAAGAATTGAACTCAGGACCTTACACTTGCCAGGCAGGTGCTTGTGCCACTGACCTATATCCCTGGCCCTCTGGCCTAACCTTACTAATAATCATGCTGTGTATTTAGTCAAAGTAAAAAAATACTTGGAAAAATAGAAAATGCATAGAAATATATTACTGTAATAAGGAAAGTAGTGAGATATTTGTAGCTCACTATAATTTAAGAGATTTTTTTAATTGTGTGCAACATACAGTTTGTATAACTTAGTATGTAGGTATCATGAAACGTGAATAAAAATTACTTTCAGCCCAGAGTTGGGGCGCACTCCCAACATTCTTGGAGGCTGATGCAGAAGGATCATAAATCCAAACTCAGCCTGGGCAACTTGAGGACTTAGCAAGACCCTGTCTCAGAATTTAAAAAGGAGTAAAGATGTAACTCAGGATAAAGACCCTGAGTTAAATCCCTGTTCCAAGTACCTCCACCGTACACATGTACAGACATAACAATTACATTTTAAAAATGTATTTAGTTGAACAGTTCAGCTAGAGTTTTAGCACAGTTATGAGATTAAAAAAAACATACTAACTTTTAAAATATAATTTTAATAGCTAATTTTCAAAGCACTTAAGTATGGGAAATTTTTTATTATGGGAATAATTATACAGTCAGTACTGCAGTTTTCTTTAATCCATTATATCTTCTATAGATAAAACATATACCTGCTTCTTTTCCAAATACTTCATTAAAAAAAAGAGAGTAAGTTCAGCATTGTTGATTGAAGTGAATTTTTGAAAGGCAATTTCATAAACATCTGGGCTGCTAGAAGAAACCTTTCACACTTCTATCAACACTTGAATGTCAGTGACACTTTTAAGTTTCTGAGCAGAAGAAGCTTTGTGGGCATAACAATATTATAGCTTTGGGCCAAGGATAGAGCTCAGTGGCACAAGTGCCTTCCCGGCAAGCGCAAGGTCCTAAGTTCAACTCCTGGTACCAAATAAATAAATATTATAATAGTTTTGAGATGTAGTATCAGTTTGAGATTGTTTAAAAGATAAGATTTATTTATAATTGTTTGAGTAATTTCATAGGCCCAATAAGTATTTGTTGAATGAAGACAACTTCCAAATGCTGGGTGACACTCATAACATCATATGTTATCTTGATTTATAGGTTCATTTATACCACAGAGTCATTTGAAAAAATAGTACATGTTTCTTAAAAATCTTTCCTAACACCTTTTTTCTTTCTGTTCCTTCTTAGCCTCTTTTATAGGTGATCTTTTTCTAGCTGCCTTTTAAGTGTTTCCTAAGATATTTTCCTGGGATCTCTCTCCATAGTGTATATTCTAGACTTTCTAAGCAGTTTATCCATTTTTATGGTTTTTCTCAGACACCTGTTTTCTATTTGAAACTTTATTTCTCACCACTAGATCTATTTACACATTTATCTACCTAATACGTACAGGTCATCCCAGGCAGTCCAGGGATATATTTACCATTAAGCTAGTTACCTCCCTTTCCCTGTCCCACCACCAAGAAAAGGACATGTGCATTTGCATAGAAGTGTGTAATGTATACACTTACCTATCTTTTATGTGCTTGTCCTCTTATTTTGGAAGGTACACTACCCGTAAGTGCCAGGCTTGGAGCTTTTCACTCAAGTTGTCTGAATGTGAATCCTCAGCTCAAAGTGCACTCTTTAATGTGCATTCTGAACTAAAATATAAGATGCATGCTCCAACAATATTTGAAACCTGAATTGTAAATTCATACCACATTGCTTTTTGATGTCACTTTGTTAAATTGCCAGCGTAGGAGCGAGACACAATAACCATGTATGTGATGTAAAATTGCAATTGGGATAAATACAGTGAGGCATATATAGTATAAGATGGATACAATTGTATGTTTTAAAAAACGGTTTAAACTCACTGGGGAGATGAGATAATGTTTTCCTGGCAAGTGGTAATTGAATTGAAACGTGAAGGCTGAATGTATTAGTTGTAGAAGGATGGAAGAGTGTTAAAGGAGAATGAGACAACTTGTATGAAGAGCTGGTGACAGGGAGGGTGCATGCCATATGTGAACAAGTGTCCTTGCCCAAAGTAATTAGTGCTCTTCTTAGAGACCTCCCCCCTTGTCCCTCCTCTTCTTGCTTCCTTATTCTACAAAAAAGTTTGAAGCTGAAATCTATATTATGTAGATACAAGTAGAAAGCAAAATGCGTGGAACCACATAGTAGACAGTGATTTGAAGGAGAGGAATCAGGAAATTTAAATAAACAGGAAATGGACACTTGCCCATTGTAAGCCCAGCGCTTTGGGAGGCTGAGGCAGAAGGATCATCACAAGCAAGACTGTCTCAAAATAAAAATTAAAAGGTGCCAGTAATGTACAGTACGGTTGAGCACCCTTCTATTCAATCCCTACTATTCCCTATCCCCCCAAAAATAGCCAGGACCTGTCTGTCACCAATATGTAACACTCAAAAGGAAAAGGTTTTGAGGTGGGAGTGCTTTTCTCCTTACCTGTTGTCATACTAGCGTTTATAGTCACTGCCTTGATAAATTTTGATAAAGCAGGGAATAACTGAATCCTAAGTAATAAATTTCAAAATCTTTACCTTAATTATATGTGATTTCTTTTGTAAGTGCATTTTCTACTGTGAAGTTTACTATTCCATGTAATGTTGCTGTGTTTGAAAATTCATTCAAGCTGTAGAAATTCTTTTAGACTGTAAAGTGACTTTTGAACCACACTGAAGTACTCTGTGGTCTCTACTATTCTAAACTTGATGACTCTGTTTATACTTTTTATGGATATGTAAATGTATTATCCTTCAAACATAATTCTAAAGCTGTCAAAACATTCCTTCACCTGCTCTTACTCAGTTGTTGAATAGGGAAACTGTTATAGGTTAAAGCTGTTTTAGAATCAACTAGATTGTCCTCCCAAAATCTCAAGCAATTTGCTCATATTTCCTGTATGTTTTTATCTTTGCTTTTTTTTTTTTTTCTTTTATGTTTCTGTCTTATCATGGTCCAGCATTCAGGTTCATAATTTTCTTAGAGTGTCATTAAAAACTAGCCAGGCATGGTGGCACACACCTATAATCCCAACACTCTGGGAAGGTGAGACAGCAGGATTGCAAATTCGAGTTCCATCCAAGCAAATTATCAATTTAGCAAGACTTTAACCCAAAAGGCTGGGAATGTAGTTCAGTGCAAAGGCCCTGGGCCAGTCCCCAGTGTCGGAGGGCGGGGGGGACAGAAACTTACTCCCTGTCTTTTTCTCTGCAGAAAGGGCTTTTGCAAGACATGAAGTTCGAGAAAGTGAGCAGCGACACACACTGGATGGACCTCGACAAGATGCAGCGTTAGATGAGGAAGAAGACATGGTGATCATTTATAACAGAGTTCCCAAAACTGCAAGCACCTCATTTACCAATATCGCCTATGACCTGTGTGCAAAGAATAAGTACCATGTTCTTCACATCAACACTACCAAAAATAATCCAGTGATGTCACTGCAAGATCAGGTAATTACCACTTAGGGAATGTGCAGATGTTTTCTGATACGTCCTCGAATTTTATGTCTCAGAGGGATAAAGTATTTTAAAGGGATATATGTAGTGATTTTAATGAATTCTGAGCCTTTTACAGGAAAACATAAACCAACTTTTGTGTAATTTTACATTCTTCACAGTATTTGACGCATTTCCTTGCATTTAATATGGTCAAGTATTTGTGAAATACATGAATTAATGAATAACAAGTTTTTGAAGAAAATATTTTTATTCAGAGTAGTGTCATTTTAAGAAAGTATTTGCCAAGATACTCGCAATAAAAGTTGTTATATTGTTTCAGTTTATGATAGAGAAATGTTTTAAATACTTGTAACTCAATTTTGTGACTAACTCCTCAAATCTCTTTAATAATTTATATAAATAATAACCCAAACCTCCTGAAGAAACAGGGATTGTGGCTTATGTCTTTAGCATAATCTTGCTTTTTAAACTCATGAAATTTTAAGATAAACAGATGGATGGATAATTTTATGAGTTGTTTTTAAGAAAAGTGGAGGAAATTATGAGATCAAGTTTACGCATCTCTTTAACAGCGGTAGCCCACATTTCTCCCACACTTGGGAATTTTGACTATAATTAAAAATGAAGTTCTGTCTGTAAATATTGAAAGGATGGGAATTAGACCCCATGAGAAGAAAAAATTTGAAAATACTATGTAGGTTTCAATGCCATATTAGAGTAGCTTTTTATAAATTATTACAAATTATAGTTCTGCTGTAATCGGTATTTATCTGTTTGAAAACATATGAAATTGTTTTATTGTTGGAGTTGACTTTTTCCACAATTAAGTGTAAGTGTAGTCTTTACACTAGCAGGAGAGGAACGTTGATGCGTGAGGATAAGGTATCCCTTCTGGTGAGAGAGCTGTTTGTGAAGGCTAATGGTACGTGGCATATCTTCTGCTCTTTTGATTCTTGGCTTTCTGCAGGCTCCTTGATTACTCTTTCTGATAGAACCAAAAAATATACATCTGTCAGTTAGATCAGATAATTCTTCTGTAAATGAGAGGAAGCATGAGCTTTTTTAGCTAAGTGGCTCATAAAACCTATTCATTGTGGAATATTGTATATCTCAAGGGCAAGCATCTTTAATATTCTATTTCATACAGTATGTAGTAGGTTTTAAATTTGTTTGCATTATTGCTTTTCATAATTCGCGTTCATTTAAAAGAAACATAATTTCAGATCTCAGTATTTTTTAGAAAAATGTTAGCTTGTTTTTTAAGAGTTATTTTGTGTCTAGCATTATAAAATTTTCTGGCAACTACAAGATATCTGGCAATGATATCAACTATTTTTTTTCGTGAAATATAGATCTGCAGAAGCTCACCACATATGACATTTATAGGCATCATGTAGTAGTACATTTTCCCAGTTGAATTTGGATAAGATAAAGCTTGTGTTTTTCTTTCAATAGCTTGTTAGTCATATACAAGAAAAAGGAAACACATAAGTGCTCTCGTTAAAGCAGTTGATTACATAATGTATAACATTTAAAACATTGTGTAGGGCAGAATAGAAGAGTAGTCTTAATCATTAGCTGACATACTTCCAAAAATCAGTTGGCAGTTCAAAACCTAGTATTAATTAAAAATGGCTTATATAAAAGATGTTGTCTAATATGCACTATCCACAAAACACTTGTGTTTTGTTATATAAAGAAGCATTTTTTCAAATCAAATCATATTTACTGATTCATTTTACTTTACCTGATAGATTAGATATCATTTTCATTTTCCTTTAAATCTAGTAGGCTTCATCTGAATGTAAACTTCTATTTTTATTTATTATCAACATGGAAATTTCTTTTAATTCAAAATAATATGGTTTAAAATGATGTAATAATTATCATCATTGGCCTTGAAACAGTCTTAAGATGTCATTCTTTTAAATCAAAAAACATGTAGTACTCTCACTGTATAATGTGTATGCTAATTACAAGTTAAAATGCAGATTCTGGTTCAGAGGGGCCAAGATACAGCCTGATACTCTAATTTCTAAACCCCTCCGCTTAATGCCAAAACTAATGCTGCTGGTTCTTAAACCATAGTTTGACTAGCACTGATTCTTGGTGAGGACACAGAAAGATGCTTATTACATTCTTCCCAGGAAGATTTACATACCTTTAAGTTTATCTTCCTCTTTCTGCTTCAAAATCCAGATTCCTTACCTAGGCCAATGGGCCTTTTCTAATCCAGTCTTTGTCCAGTGCTCTTGCCTTTTGTTCATTGTGTTCACAGCCCTTTCCTACTTTAAGGCCTCTGCACGTACATTTCCTTGTAGAATATATCTCTCCTGCCTCCCATATTTGCCTTCATGTTATCCATTTAAGTTTTCAGATTGGCACTCTTAAACAAACCTTACTGGGCCATCCTATATATTAAATACCTCTGTCAAGTTACTACTGAGTATCAAATCACTCTATATTCTTCCTACCTTAGTGCCATCAGCTTATAAAATTATGCTGTGCATTGATTTGATTGCCATCTGTCTATAAAGTTCTGTTACAGTGAAAAGCTCCTTAATGGCAGGAACTGTGGCTGTCTTATTTACCATGATATCCTTTGTGTTTAGTGTAGTGCCTGAGACAGAGTAGATAATGCCACATTTTTTTGATAAATGATCAATGAAAAATAAATAATCTAATTAGATTCTAATAGTGGTTGTTAAACTGAGCATGGTACCATGATGATAATTATTGACAGAGTGAACCCTTCCAATTGATAGCAGGAAGAGCTGTGCTACCTTTGAGATGATTTGCTAACCTTTCTGTCCACCCCATAACCAAAATATTAAGCAACACAACTCTGACCTTTAGTAATGCTGCCCTCTATAGCTGCAGAACTTTACATGTATTTTTAATCTAACATTATTTAGTCTTCCCTTAGCGTAGAAAACTTGCTTGCTGGTTTAGTCTCATAGAAGTACCCATGGCCATGTAAGAAATGTTTAAGTAAATGCATGAGTAGAAGTGTGGTATATAGTAATTACTCAAATTAATAGTAGGATTCGTTCAATAGATAGTAATTTCAAAGTTGGAATTTTGCCAAGATGTTCAGGATGACATTCCTACTCTTCTAGGTAGTGAAAACAAGTTCTTTTGTGATCATAGATAATTATAATGTTGAGGTTAACTTATTAGCACTGTAAGTCTAGATATTACTGTTAGTAAGATGGAGGGGTTTTTTAGCATTTTCCGATAGTATTGGTTCAACTTCAACTCAGCAAACAAATAGATGACAGCACACTACCTACATTGCTATGTTTTCCCTGAAGGTATTTTGTGATTACTTACTAGCCTGACTCTGCTTGAGTTATAAAATCTGACAAAAATCAGAGTTTAGAATCTGCTTCAGGCTAGCTATAAAACATTTTTTTCATGTAGTATATCAAACTACTTCTGAATCTCCTTATTGATAGCATATTCAATCAGAGTATGAACATTCTCTTTGAATAAAGTCACTATGGTGGCTTTATTTCTTCTCCCTAAGGCAGAGCTTTTATTCAAGTTTCACTTGATACTCTTAGGTTTTGCTCTCTTTTGCCTGTCAATTTACCCTTCATTAGTGCCAGATGTAACTGAGGAATCCATGAAATGACTGAAGTTTGCTCCTCTGATCTGCTCTTCCTTGTCTTACTCTGTGTTCCGGAGCCTTAGGCTGAGGTACTGGCACAGTGCCCCCGTGGAGGGAAATGCCAAAGGAAACAAACTGGAAGGCAAACCAAGCACTACAGGAGAAGTGAAAAGGCAGAAAATCATAGGGAAGGAACTGGGACTGGGCTGGTGAAAGGGGAACGTGGAGGAGATAAAGTGGAGACAGAAAATTTTGGAGAAACAAGGGCATATATATTAAACATGGCTAAAAAAAGAAGTAGCTAAATTAATACTTTAGAAAACTTTTTTAGAATACTGTTTTCCAAAGACGTTACTTATATTCTCTCCTTGGAGAACAACTTTGAAGAAGAAATAAGAACAATGTGGAATTTCAGTGGTACATAAGTGCCACTTCTCAGCACTCAGACTGTTTCCCAGGTTAGTATGAAGTACCACTCCAACCTTATTGACATCATTTGTTGGCTTAGCACTTTTTTTGTTCCCCATAAAGAAAGGTTAACCTCGGCTCAGCATCTTTTGATTTATTGCACGTTGTGAGTGAGCCACAGCTTTATTAATGAGACTTTAACATATTGCTTTAGTTAATATTGAAGAAATTTTTTAAAAATGTGCATTGCCGTTATTTGGATCTTAGATGCCCCTCAGTGACCCATGTGTTAGAGGTTTTGGGAGGGAGAAGACACTTTTAGTATATGTGCTATGAAGTGATAACTGGAAGACACTGTTAGAAGGTAGGGCCTAGTGAGAGAGGTCTTCAGGTCACCCAGAGTGAGCCCTCAAAGGGGATCAGAGGTCCTATCCCCTTTCTTGGCTCTCTGCTCCTTGGTCCTGAGGTGGGTGTTGTTGCTCCACTGTGCGCCCTCACCGCAGTCTGCTGTCTCATCTTAGGCCCAAAGCAGTGGTGCCAATCAGTTGCTAAAACCTCCTCAGCTGTGAGCCAAACGAACTTTCTTTTTTATAAGTTGATTATCTCAGGTATTGGTTATAGTGATAGAAAGCTGACTTATACAAATATGTAGATTTTGATCTTTTAGATGGAAGATTGGAAAAGAGATTCTGTGCAATTTGGGGACTTCAATAATGGAATTAGAAAACCTAAAAATAAGTACAATCTACCTACATTTACTTCAGATGTTACAAATTTAGGAAGTAAAGCTCAAAGTCCTACAGAGATAGTTAGACCTAGTAGTCCCTTGGGGGCTACCCAAAACAGTTAAAACGCACAGTTCACACACACACACACACACACACACACACACACACACACACTCACACAGAGGGAATAAACCAAGGGAACAAGGGTCATTGTTGAAGTAGTTGCCCATTGTTGTAATGACCAGAATGGATTGGAATTTGAGATTATGATGAAGGTAATGAGCAAATTCATAAGGAAATAAACAAACAGTGTATCAACTGAACCTTGAGATTTTATTTATTTTTTTTTAATTTTAAAAGTAAAAGGAGGAAAACATTAACAGACAGACAACCTTTTAAAAATAGCAAAAGAACAGTACAGACAATACAGAGTTACAAAGTGGTAGGAAATTAACAATGCTTGTTTGTATTACATATTGATATCTTCAAAGTGGTTTCTCATGAAAACAGATAGAGACATGTAATATTGAACAATCAAGGACTCATTGACAGTTTCTTTCAGCAAAGAAATAGAAGACAGTAGAACAACTATGTTAACTATCCTATACATGCATACAAAGTTTCTCCTTCTTTCCCTTCTCTTTTCCCACATCCCAGTTGCCCTTTACCCTTGAGTGCTTTCCTATCATTTCACACTATCATACCTCCTAATTTAAATTAACTCTTTCAGGTTTTACACTAGTGAAACAATGCGGTGCTTGCACATGTATGTTTGATTTATTTCACTTATGAGTATGGTCTCTAGTTGTGACCATTTACCTATAAAAGCCTCGAGTTTATCTTTCCTTATAGCTGAGTAATATTCCATTATATAAAAGTACCACAATTTTCCTATCCAGTCCTCGGTGGATGGACATTTGGGTTGCTTCCACATTTTAGCCATTACAAATTGTGCTGCTATGAACATAGGTGCACATATATCGCTGTGATACGCTGTTTTTAGATCTTCTGGGAAAATGCCCAGCAGGGGGATAGCTGGGTTGAATGGGACCTCTAGATCCACTTTTCTGAGGAATCTCCAAACTGATTTCCACAGTGGTTTCACCAGTCTGCATTCCCACCAGCAGTAGAGAAGGGTTCCTATTTCTCCACAACCTTGGCAGCATTTGTTATTGGTTGATTTCTTAATGCTAGCCATTCTTACTGGGGTAAGGTGGAATCTCAGTGTTGTTTTAATTTGCATTTCTCGAATGACTAATGATGTTGAACATTTTCTCATATATTTATTTGCCATTTGTATCTCCTTGTCTGAGAAGTGTGTATTCATGTCAGCTGCCCATTTTTGGACTGGGTCTTTGAATTTTAGGGGGCTGATATTTTTTAATTCTTTATATGTTCTAGATAGAAGCCCTTTGTCTGAGGGGCAATCGGCTAAAATTTTTTCCAAGTTTGTGGGTTTTCTTTTGACTCTGCTGGTGATTTCTTTAGATGTGCAGAAACTTTTCAGTAGGAATGAGATCCCAGTTGTTGATTCTTTCAAGTGTTTCACGTGCAATTTGTGAACCTTGAGATTTAGAAGTAGAGAATTTGTGTGTGTATGTGTTTGTGTGTGTTGGTGATCAAACCCAGTTCTTCTGCATATTAGGCAAATACTATATCATTGAGTTACAAACCCAACCCAGTTGGAGGAATTTGAGTGTCTGAATTTGAGGGGTTACTATAGTAGCTGAATTTTTCAGTATCCCAATTTGTTGATTTTTTTGTTGTTTCTTTATCTGTAAAGTAAAAAGTAAAGGTTGTTCTTGGTCTGTTCTGTCCCTAAAATTCTGATTCTGTAAACAAGCATTCAAGATTGGTTATAGCAGTGGATGATTCATGCCTTGTTCTTTTCCCTACCTTAAGCACATTCTTAGCTGTGTCCAACTCAGAATACAGTCTTTTATCTTATTTCATCAAGTTTTGAACTATGCTTCTCGGAATGCTTGGTTCCAGTGTGATTCAGGCATCACTGAGGGCTAGGTGTTTGGGAAAACAAGACTGAGTAGCAGGGTTCACTCTACTTCTGCTGCCCGTTTCTGTCTTATATATTGCAGTAGCTTATAAAATTATCAAACATTTGCTGAGTTTCAGTCCATTTTTACTGAGAGTATGAAGTTCACTTTACTCAAGAGCTCCTGTAGACCTCAGGCCTCCTTTATGAAACTACAAAAACAAGCCTCAGAAGCTTGTTTAATGAAATCGAAAACCTGCCCATGCTTTCCTCTGCAGTATGGCCCGTTACCTGAAGATTTGTTAGAAATACAGAATTCCAGGCTCTGCTCCTACACCAGAATCCACTGCATCAGAGTCTGCAGTTTAACAAGAGTCCCACGGGAGCCATATGCCCGTATGTGTTTGAGAAGCCTGGCAGCAGTCCAGGTTTTATGCAGCTTCCTACGCTCTTCACCTCATATTGAAGGACACACATTGATGAAGTACCATCCGTCCTCAGAAAGGTTAAATATTGGCCATCCTGAGGAACACTGGAGGAAAAAGGGTACTTGAAGTTTATCCCTGACTCTTTAACTTCTGCTAGCCTTTCATCATACGGTGTTCCATCCAAGTTTATACTATGGGCCTATCTAGCATTTGGCTTACATAACGGCATTTTCTCACGCTTAAATCTCGCCTCTCCTTTTGTTTCCCTCCTACACCACCATGTCCATATTAAACCTCTGCTTCTGAAAAGTACAGCTGAGTTGCTAAGTATGTCTTAAGCTCTCTGTAACCATCACCTCTAATTCCTTACTCTTTCAGCTTTTATGTTTGCCTCTCATTTTGACTGAAATACTGAAACTGATTTTCATAGAACCAAAAGTTTATATGACATAGTTTACCATTAAGTGGCAGTTACAAGGAACATTTTCATGTTCAACGTGTAATTATTTTTAAGGATGCAACTTGAGATTATTTATTTATTATTCTGTTTCCTTTCATTTGCCATTTGATAGTTTAATTCTGCTTGGTACCTTATGTGAAGCATGAACAGGAAAGAACACAAGAACCAAAATCACACATGTAACGTGACTGTTTCAGTGGTGGTGGGGGACTGAAAATATCTGCTGAAATGAAATTACATATTTTTTTCATGTAACCCAACTTTATCTACATTTGATTTTCAGATTTTATCTCCAGGTTATGTATGGGTATGGAGAGACATGAAGTAAGGCTTATTCGATTTCCATTCTGAAAGCTCCTTTATTTTCTTTAATATGTGAGTTATTAATGCTTCCTTTAAAAAATAAATGCTCCCAGAATCTTCCAGTTTTCTGTAGTTTACATTCTGTCACATACAGCTGCATTTTCAGTTTCCTTTCCCAACCAAACCAGCAGAAAGCAGCTGTCCTCATTCACTGCTGTTAACTTAATGACACTAATCCAGTATGAAGTACTCTGGGATAGCTCATGTGATTAACTCTATTCTAAAATGTAAGTGAAAGGTTGATGAATTGTCAGAAGTGTGCAGTTGACATACAGCTTTTACAGGCTGATGTCACAGTTGCAGATGCCTTCAGTACTGTACAGAGTGGTGGGCCTCACTACCTGAGCTCCTTGCACTGTATCTCGTCTCCAGAAAAGATTCTTAACCACATGTTATTTGTTCTTAACCATGTGTTATTTTTCACGAAGAGATTTGCTTACAGAAATCTATACTGTTTTCCTTTAAAAAATTGTGCATCATTGTTTTAAATCTGGTGGTACTTAGTTTTATCAAATTCTGTATTAACCAGTTCTTTAAAAGTAATGTTTATACTTAGTGAATTTTCAACTTTTAACCTTTTATATACTTTCAACTTCCAGTAAATATATAGATACTTTTGAATATTTTATTTGACTTATGTCACATCTCCAATTTTATTGATCATTCTTATTAAAAACCTTCTGATTATCATCTTTTCTTTACTCGTTTTGGTTTAACTTTCTATTTATTGAATCAAAATGAAAATGAATTTTTAGAAATAAGCCTCTGAGACTATTTGTTATACACAGACTGTCTCTATACTGTGACTTAGCTGTCGTGTGTGCGGAGGGCTGAAGAGTACACACCCTCCACTGCACTCCTACCGCTACATGTACATATACTGTCTGTATACAGCATTGCACATGGTATATTCTGCAGTTTTGTTTTTAGAAACATCTCTTTTTTCTGAGTGTGGTGATAGTAGCTCCATGATGGACTAGTAATTATAGATTATATTATACTTTGTTTAATCCAAAAATGTTTTTCCAGCTCTATAATTGTCAAAATGGTGGACTGCTTTTAAATTCCTGAATTTAGAGTCTTTTAGTGTCATCGAATTTCACTTTCTTTAAAATGTACTTAACTAACAGATGTGTTCTCTTTTTTTAGGTGCGGTTTGTAAAGAATATAACTTCCTGGAAAGAGATGAAACCAGGGTTTTATCATGGACACATTTCTTACTTGGATTTTGCAAAGTAAGTTATGCCTAAAGTGACATACTAAAGAATGCCTTATCCTTCAGCAACCTAAAAGAAATAAATGTTTTAAATTGTTATCATTTTGATTTTCCAGAATAAGATTGTACAGTACTGAATTGTCTTTGCTTTTAGATCTGTAATTTAAATATCCATCTAGTGTCTTACTGCCCTCTAGTGTTCATAAATTGGCAATTTTCATGATAATTATGCTATAGAAATTCCAGTTAAGTTAAATTTAGGTAATATTATTTAAAGGTATTCATCATTATTGCATGTGTTTCATATACAACCAAAATGATACTGTTCCAGGAAAGGTAAAGTTTTAACCTGATCAATCAGATTGTGACTGTACCACATTACTACAAAGCAAAAAATTCTCACGCAGTTATTGGTGCTCAGTACATAAAAAGGAATAGTTTAAACATGAGTCTTATGTATCTGTTTGAACTTTTTTTGTAGTACACGTAATGCCATTTTGGTAAAGCCTCAAATCCTCATGTTTTCCTTAATATTCTGCATTAACTTTAGAAACACCAAAATTTTTCATTGTTTAAGCTTATTCTCTCAGTCTTTAATAGTCATGATCTAAAGGAATACATCCTCATTTATTTATTCGCCAACTTTGAAAGATAGTATGTAAAATTTGAAATGAAAGTGATACTTCACTTTCAATTTATCTCATTAAATTTGAAAAGTAGATGGAAATATTACTGATTGAGATAGATAGTAAATCTTTTAACTTTTTTGGAAGTCATAAAATTGAAAAAGAGCCACTCACATATTACATGTATAAAATGATAAACTCTAATTTCTTTTTTCTCTCATACTACTCAGTCTTTCAATAAAGAAGTAGCTTCAAAGTTAGGTGTACATTTTTCTATAAATAATTCATACTGCAATATTGAAAACATTGTATGGGTAGCTTTAAAATAAACTAATTATTTTTTCTTTGCAGAGGCGTTGAACCAATTTCATAAACTTCATTCATATGCATATTTTCCCTCAGGCCTGCATTATCCTTGAATTGAATGTTTGTTTCCCTTTCACCTAAATGATTTATTTTTCCACACACAACTCAGTTTCTAATACTTGAGATTTTCATTATTAAAATTATATATTGAGTGCTTTTGCTTTAGGCAAAGTCTAAGAACAAAGCTCTGGTATATGCTTAGGTTCTTATACTTGAAAAGTATAAAGCTTTTTGAAAGAAATAATCTTATTTATTAAATATTGACATGAATGTTTAGGGATTTCAATATTTTCATAGTCCTCTTGTTACTGAAACTAAAAATTACTGTAAAAAACTTCAATAGACTTCTAGACAATTTTGAACAAATACCTAAACACTGATATCCTGTTAATTATCTTTTTGTATGATAGCCCAGTAACCCATAACTAAGGAAAAAGAAAGAAATGTCACCTTACCAATTTGGGGGATTTTTTTGGTGTCAGGAATCGAACTCAGGACCTTGCGTTTGCCAGGCTGGCGCTGTGTCACTGAGCTATATGCCTGGCCCACCTTACCAGTTTTTAAAATAATTTATTTTTGATTGTCCGCCATTATCTTGACCAGCATATTGCTTATAGAGTTTATTAAAATACTTGCCATTAGAAAAAAATGTGAATTTAGTAAAAGAAATTTTAATCACATAGTATTTCAGTTGCCTTCACTGGAGACATTAAAGAGTATAAACCCTAGAAAACCTAGGAAATAAGATTAAGAAATAGATAATGAAAAGTCCTTTCTAGTTAAAAGTGATTACTGAGAAACACACATCCTATTTGTGATTTTAAGTCTGCCCAAAGCATGTTCTGATTATATATGTGTATTTTTTTCTCCTAGAACTTTAGGATAATAACCAAAAAATTTTTTTGACATTTTTCCATTTTCTCCCATCTTGCTACTTCTTGTCTTAATTCTATAGACATGATAAATTCATGCCATAAATTTAGAAATTTTGTAGTTTAAAACTATATAGATATAGATTGGACATTTTCAGAATGTTCTGGTGTATTGAAAATACAAAGTTAAGTATAAACCTTGACCTTAATGAGTTTGTTGAAACTTCATTTTTCCCCTAGACTTACCTGTTCATAGTTCCTTTTTATAAGCAATGAAAATCTTATGTTACCTTTCCCTTTTAAATTCATGCTATTCATTTACCAGTATGAAAGATGGATTAAAAGCGAGAGAGACTGATGTAAAGAAACCAAGTAAATTATTACAGTAACCCAAGCAGAAGGGCTGGGAAGAAGGCAGTGGTAAAGAGAGAATGAAGAAGACAGGGCACATCATTGAGAAAGCTTACAAAAGAAAAATTAGACTCGGTAACTTCACTAAATGACAAATAAAGGAAAGGGAAGAGACAAGAGAATATTTCAAGGTGGGGAGTGGGGAGGATATTAAGACAAGGAGCCAGTTGGACATTTCCACAGTCTACAAAAGTTACAAAAGTAAAAAGCATCCATGTTCTGTCAGCTCTTTATCATTCTATAAATAATGCTGAAGACTTTGTTTTTCACTTCTCTCATCTTTAAAATCAGTAAAGTAGAAGGTGGTGGTACCGGTACTGTCAGTACTGTATCTATTGATAATCTTTACCCAGTTTGGTGAGCCAGAAATAACACATCGTTACTATATTTAATGTATATTGGAAACTCTACAACCAGATTGGTTATGGAACCAAATAAATCACTTCTTAATAACCCCATTTTAAAATTATAAATATTAATTTTTGTATGCGTGTGCAAATCTGGGAGAGTATTGTATACTTGGACTTGAACTCTAATGAAGACATAAAATTAAAATGTTTTGTATAATTTTTTCCAATAAAGTTTAAAATTTTTATTCATTTTCCCCTTCCTCCATAATTTTTAAAAAATTTATTAATTGACAGTAACTGTACATATATATGTATGGGACACACTATGCTATTTCAATACATATATAAATCATGCAGTGACCAGATTAAGATAATTGTCAGATCTTTCATCTCACATATTTATCATTTCTTTGTGTTTGGAGCACTCAAAATCCTACTAGCTATTTTGAAGTATTCACTTCACTGTTGTCAGCTATAGTTATCCTTCTGTGCTGTGGAACATTAGAAGTCCCCGCCCCCCCCAACTCCAGCTGCACTCCTATACCTGTTAACTATTCTCTTTTCATCTGTTCCTGCATATCCTTCGTAGGCTTTGGAAACCACTAGTCTACTCTACTTTGTTAGATCAGCTTTTTAGCTTCCACATATAACTGAACATAAGCAGTGTACCTACTTCATTTAACATAATGTTCTCAAGTTCTATCTATATTAATAATGCAGTTACATAATTTCACTCATTTTTATAGCTGACTATATTGTGAATATTGTTATATATATACATATATGTATATTATATAGTGTGTGTGTGTATACAGTATACTTTCTTTATCCATTCATCTGTTGATGGATATATAGGTTGATTCCATATCCTAGCTGTTGTGAATAAAGCTGCAATAAATGTGCAAGTACAGATATTTTCTCAGTGTACTGATGTCATTTCCTTTCAGTGTATGCTCCATAATGGGATTGCTGATCATATGGTGGCTCCGTTTCTAGGTCTTCAAGGAACCTACTGCATGGTTATACTAATTTTAATTTTCATTCCCACCAACAGTGCATGAGAGTTCCCCTTTCTGCACATCCTTGCTAGCACTTATTTTTGTCTTCTAATAGCCATTCTAACTGGAATAAGATAATACCTCATTGTGATTTTGGTTTGCATTTACCAGATGATTAGTGATGTTGAGCTTTTGTTTTTTCATATAGCTGTTGTATAGCCTGTTTTGAGAAATGTCTGTTCAGGTCATTTGCCCATTTTCTAATAGGACTTTTGTTTTTCTTGCTGTTGGCTTGTTTGAGTTCCTTATATTTGGGATTTAATCAGATGAGTAGCTTGTCAGATGAGTAGCTTGCACATATTTTCTCGCACTCTTTAGATTGTCTCATCATTGTTGATTGTTTCATTTGCTGTGCAGCGTTTTCTTTGATGTAATCCTGTTTGTCAAGCTTTGCTTTTGTTGCCTGTATTTTGGTACCACATCCAAAAAAAGTTTTGCAAAGACTAATGTCCTGATGTATTTCTCCTATGCTTTCTTGTAGTAGTTTCATAATTAGATTATTTGATCCATTTTGAATTGGTTTTTATATGTGGTAAGAGATAAGGGTCTAGTTTCTTTGTTTTGCAGAGATATCCAGTGCCATTTACTGAGGAGACTTTCCCTTTTCCAGTGTATATTCTTGCTGCCTTTGTTCAAAATGAGTTGGCTATAAGTACACGGATTTATTTCTGAGTTCCTTCTGTTCTGTAGATTGATATCTCAGTTTTTATGCCAGTACCATGCTGTTTTGGTAGCTATAGCATTGTAGTGTGTTTTAAAAACCAGATATTGTGATGCCTCCAGTTTTGTCCTCCTTATTCAAGATTGCCTTGGCTATTTGGGGTCTTCTGTAGTTCTGTACAAATTCTAGGAGATTTCAATCTGTGAAGAACATCATTGATATTTTGATACAGATTGCATTGGGTCTGTAGAGCACTTTGGGTAATATGGACATTTTAACAATGTTAATTTCCCTAATCCATGAATATAGGATGTCTTTTCATTTTGTGTGCATGTGTATATGTAGGTTCTCTTTTATTTTTTCATTAGTATTTTGTAATTTTTTGGTAGAGATCATTCACTTCTTTAGTTAAATTTATTCCTATGCATTTTTGTAGCTTTTATGAATTGGATTTCTTTCTTAACAATTTCATTGGTAATGTATTTTAAACACTACCGATTTTTGTGTGTTGATTTTTATATCCTTCAACCTTACTGAATTTATCAGTTCTAACAGGTTTTTGATAATCTTTAAGTTTTTCTGTATGTAGGACCCTGTCATCTGAAAAAGGATACTTTGAGCTCCTCCTTTTCAATTTGGATGCTGTTCATTTCTTTCTCTTGCCTTATTGTTCTGGTTAAAGTTTCCAACACTAAACTATATTGAACACGAGTGGTAAGAGGTTACAGCTATGTTTACTCCTGAATTTAGAGGAAATAATTTCAACTTTTCCCTATTCAGCATGGAGTTGCTGTGTTTTGTAATCTATAGCCTTTATTGTATTGATTTGTATTCCTTCAGTATTCCCCTTTGTTAAAGGTTATCATGAAGAGATACTGACTTTTACCAAATATTTTTTTCTGTGCCTGTTGAGATGATCAAGTGATTTTTATTCTTCATTCTATTTGTATGATATAGCTATGTTTACTAATTTGCATATGTTGCATCATCTTTGCTTGCTAGAATGAAACCAACTTGATCGCAGCATGTGATCTTTTTGTTGAATTCAATTTGCAAGTATTTTGCAGTGGATTTTTACATCTCTGTTCATCAGGGATACTTGTATATAGTTTTCTGTTTTGTGTGTGTCAGGCTTTGGTAGCAGGATAATGCTGGCCTTATAAAAGGAATTTAGAAGCTCAATCTCCCTTTCAATTTTTTATAATAGTTTGAGAAGAATTAATATGAGTTCTTTTTTAAAGATCAATTGAAGTCATCCAGATCTGGACTTTTCTTTATTGGGAGGCTTTTTATTACTAGTTTAGTTTCATTATTTGTTATTGTTCTTTACAAGTTTTCTATATTCTTACATATCAGTTTGGGTAGGGTATATGTGTCCAGAAATTTATCCATTTATTCTAGGTTTCCCAATTTATTGGCATCTGATTGTTCACGATGAACCTTTGAATGTCTGTGGTATCAGTTGTAATGTTTCATTGTTTTCATCTCTAATTTTATCTGTCTGGATCTCTTTTCCCCCTTTACATAAATTAAGTTTGTCATTTTTATTTATTTGAAAAAAAAATTGGGTTTTGGTTTTGGTTTTTGGTCTTCATTTTGTTTATTTCTGCTGAAGTCTTTCTGATTTTGGATTTTGTTCATGCTTGCTTTTTTAGTTCATTGAATTGCATCATTGGGTTTTTTGAAATCTTACTTTTTTATTCCCTTATTTTGTTGGCAGAGGTATTCTCTTCTTAGCACATTCTCTTTTGAGTATCTTCTTTGCTAATGAATTTTGTTCTTTCCTGTATTTTCATGATGGTAGTTATCATCCTTTTGCTTCTATTACAGGTCTGCCTTAAGCATTTATTATCCAGCGATGATGAATTCCTTGTTTTGTTTTGCTTTGCTTTGTTTTTGCCTTGGAAAGACTTTATTTCTCTTTCATTTCTGATGGATAGCTTTTCTGGACATAGTACTCATGATTGGCAATTCGTTTGTTTTTTCTTTTGGAATGTTGAATATTTTATCCTATTCTCTCTTGGTCTGAAAGAATCCTGTTTGAGAAGTCTAATGTTAGTGTAATGGTGATTTCCTTGTGACTTGACGCTGTCCCCTTCCTGTTTTAGAATTCAATCTCTCTGTCTTGTACTTCTGACAGTTTCATGATAATATGCCTCAAAGTGGATCACTGTTGATTGAATCTATTAGGCATCCTTTGAGCTTTCCACGCCTGGATGTGAATATCTTTCCCAAGATTTGCAGTTTTCAGCAGCAGTTTCATTGAATAGGGTTTTCTGCATCTTACCCGCTTCCACCCCCTTTCTGGAACATCCAAAATAGGGAAATTTGCTCACTTAATGGAGCCCCATAAGTTTCAAGGTTTTCTTCATTCTTTTATTATTTAGTTAGTTTGTTTATTTTAGGTCTTACTGGGTTATTTTGAAAGACTTGTCTTTGAGTCAGAAATTCTTTATTCTGCTTGATCTAGTCTGCAGTTGAGGAATTTTTTTTTTTTTTACTTTTTCTTATTGAGCTTTTTTATCTTCAAGATTTGTTTTCTCTTTTATGGTCTCTATCTCTTTGCTAAGTTTCCCATTCATATCTTGAATTGTTTTCCTGATTCATTGAATTGTCTATTTTTATTCTCTTTCATCTCATTAAGTTTCCTTAAGAATTAGCCAGGCATGGTGGCATACACCTGTAATCCCAGCACTCGGGAACCTGAGGCAGGAGGATTGCCTTGAATTCAAGGCCAGCCTGGACTACATCGTGAGAACCTGTCTCAAAAAAAAAAAAAAAAAGGAATCATCATTATGAATTCTTCAGACAGTTTATCAGGTTCCTTTTCTTTGGGGTTAATTGCTAGATACTTTGGTTTTCTTGTGTCCCTGTGTTAGTGTAACTGGCAGATCGTCTCTACCACTTTCATAGGCTAATTCTCTTGGGGTAGGAGCACTCTGAAAGGTCTGCGCAGGTAAGGAGCAGCTTGCTGGCAGCAGGGGCATGGTACCAATCAGTTCTCAAGGGCTGATGAGGATGGCTTGTCACAGTCTGCTAGGTGGGTATGATACAGTGTGCCCAGGACTGGGATGGAGTGCCTGTTAGTATCTGAGGGCCACTTGGGGACCAGGTGAAACCTGGGCCCAGATGGGTTACTGACCAGTATCTGAGGCCTGCATAGTTCACCTAAGGAGCCCTGTGGGGTCTGCCTTCTTAGGGCAACCTGCCAGTCTGCTTCTGCAGACCTCACCATGCCAGGCTTCTGGTACGCTGCGTGACTGCCTCAGCCAGCCGAACCATTCAGGGCAGGCTGCTCAGCTCCTTCCCAGGGGCAAGGGTGTGTGATCACCATAATTCCATAAATTCTTAACTCTTGCTTACTTTACTGTGACATCAAATGAGTGCTCTTTAAATCTTCACTTAATATTTTATTTTACTTAATTGGTTTTTTTTCATATAGGATCATTACTTCAGACTTTTACATATAATTTCAGGAAATTTCTAAACAGAATAAAAATGTTGATTTCATCAATTTTGTCCTATTTCAGATTTGGGGTGAAAAAGAAGCCAATTTACATTAATGTGATAAGGGATCCTATTGAGAGGCTAGTTTCTTACTATTATTTTCTGAGATTTGGAGATGATTATCGACCAGGATTAAGGAGACGAAAACAAGGAGACAAAAAGGTAGTATTTTAGTTTTAAGATTTTCATAGAAATAATTGTTTCCTAAATGCAATGGTCAGTGTGCTTTTTGAATCTCTTATTGATTATAAAGATACTGCTTGCTTATTACGGAAAATTTGAAAAACATCCCAGAGTATAGAGGCAAAGGTAAAACTATTAGCTGATGTCTTTATAGTATCATCATTTTTGTGAGGTTTTAAAAAAACTTTGTTCATCTGTTAAAGAGTTCAATATTTGTTTTATTATAGTCCTATTAATAATTTTCCAGGGCTGGTGATGTAGCTCAGTGGTAGAGCACTTACTTATCTAGCATACATATGGCCCTTGCACTGTCAGACAGGAATTCTGGGAGATTATTAATAATTATTGATTAATATATTTTATTTCTCATAGTTTTACTGATGGCAGTTTTGTATTTATTAGTAATCACTTTGTTTAAAGCAGAAATTTTACAAGCAATGAGAAAATAATGACTCAAGATATTTGTATGGATTTTGGTGTCGTTCATTTCATTGCTTCCTCCAGAGTATCACCAGCTACTTTTCTGAGAACTATACTGATTTTTCGCATTTCTCTTGGAACACTTTTACTCAGACCTCACTACTCACAGCATAGAAGACGCAGGGTGGCATTGTTTGAGACTTTCCTCCTGTCTTAATTTTTCCTCAGATAGCCACCTCAGTGCTTTGGCCACATGAAATGTCACTGAACTCCAAACTTACTATTGCTTCATATTTTTTCCATACATGCTGTTCGTCATATTTAGAGTGCCTTTCCTTCACTCCAGAAAAGTTTTCGTTTATGTATGAGATTCGGCTGCAGTGTTCCCTTTCTCACAAAGTTTCCTATCCTGCTGCCCCACAGCAGAGTTAGGTCCCTTTCAAGACTTCCAAAACATTCTATTTCAATCTTTTTCAAAGCATTTACTCAGTAGTATCTGGAGTGTTGGTTTACGTACTGTTTTCCCCCATATCTCATCTCTGAGCCCCTCCTGTTTAACTTGTGTCTTAGCTAACTCTGTCATCATTGAGACGCAGTACCTGCCACCTGCAACCCAAGGAGAGGTTGATTTTGGCTCACAGTTTCTAGGGGTTTCAGTCCATAGTCAGCTGGCTCCAGGGCAGAAGTGGCATAGTGCAAGGGTTGGGCAGAGGACAGCTGCTCCTGGCGTGGTGTTCGTGGCGTCTAGAAAGCAAAGAGAGTAAAGAGAGGCTCTGGGGAGGAAGATAAGCCCTTCAGGCTACTCCCTCAGCAACCCACACTTTCCTACCAGATCCCACCTCCTCACCAAAAGTCAGCTATGAGCCCCCATAGTCCGGCCACCTTTCAAAACCCCCACCTCAGTGCATGACGCTCTTGGGGGACATCTCAGTATAGAGCATAACAATATGGTACCTGGTTTGCCTGTGAGTGCTTAACAGTATGTGCCCTCTGCACATTTTAAAGTGTTACACAGTAGCAGCGCCAAATGCTTGGTGTATCATGATAAGCAACACCCAATAATGAACTCTTTTCTAAGTAAGATGTTTCTTCTTTGTCATGAGAAAACCATAGGGTTTTCTTTGTTTTCCTTTTTTTTCTAGAAATTGATGTTTCATTTCTTAGTCTCAAAATTTTAATTAGAAAATACTAATCAAAATATAAATAACTGACCAAATCTTCTTTTACTCTGGGTTTACCCATATCTTACCATTACCTAATCCTCTAAAAAATGCTTGTATTATTTTGAGGTGTCTGTAAAATTCTGTAAAATCTGTAAATAGAACTTTTTATGGCCTTGTACTTGGAGTATTATTTTTACTTTGTGACATCCATCTTTTTCCTTTGAACAAATGGATGATAATGTTGTTTAGGAAAAAATATACTATCCTATAGGTTCAGCTGTCAGCCCTAGATAGCATGGTTTCGTGGTTGTTCTACACAATTTGAGTGATTGAGCAATGACAGTGATTAATGAAATTAACCACAATAAATCACATTTATTATTTATTGTATACAGAGCACTGTTCTAAGCTGGCTTGTGCAGTTCTATGAGGTAGTTGCTGTTGTATTCTTCACTTACAGATAAACAAACTGAAACCCAGAAAGGTTAAAACACTATGCCTAGTATCATATGGCAAGTAAATGGTGAGCCCATAATCTCAACCCTTCTTTTTTTTCTTTAAAAAGAAATACAATATGCTACTCAATGTTTCCCTGTAGAAAATTTATATATTCAATACTTAATAGAAAATCCATCATCTCCCTTTTATATTTGAAAAACTTAGGTAGATATGCTGTCCTAGAGCTTTTACTACTTTCACTCTAAGTGTAATAAGGCTTGGATTTTTAAAATATCATTATAAAAATACATATTTCTACACTTGTTTGTTTAGATACAGTATTAGTAACTTCAAAATGTTATATTGCATATTGTACTGTTTTAACTTTTATAAGGATACAACCACATGTAAATAAATGATTTATTAAAGTATGAAGTTTCACTGTTTTGTGATAGAAATATTTTGTGATAGAATGGACCTTTTCAGATATGAAACATTAGACATACTAAATAATTCATCATGTTTCTCATGAAACAAATGTTGATAGCATTCTAGGACCTTATATGTTACTTAATGTTTTATTGCAGATAACTCCTTAATATATTTAGCTTGCAAGAATCTTCATTAAACTCATATCTTTAAAGTTTTAAGACTTTGTGCCTATAACATTCCTAAAAATGGAGGGATATTTGAAGGTAGCGGAGATTAAAGGGTGGCCATGATTACATTTATATAACTTACAGTGGCTGCCATTCTAAAAAATGTCTGAATAGCTTCATTCAGTTCAGCACTTAGAACAACTATTATGGTTTAAACCGCAGCCTCCCAGTGACCTGAACTGCTCTCTGCTTACATTATCAGACAGTAATTGGAAAGACATTTCTGATATCTGTACACTTCAGATACTTTCAGTTGATCTTCAGTAAGAAACAAAAGATTGGTTTTATTTGGTAGATTTCTTAACTTCCAGAGAACTTTTATTTATGTGAGCTAAATCTACTGTATTAATATTTACCAATATTACAAATTCCCAATTTACTGAGAAGTGTTTTTAAGTTAATGTAAAAGTAACAGGAAACTTATCTTGTGTTAATATAAATAATATTTTAGTGCAAATAACCATTCCTTCAGCTTCAAAAGTAAGAGTGGCATCATTTTACCTTTGTACAAAAATCTTTTTGTATCTGACTTAATACAGATAGCCTGATTTTTGTGTCCCTTTCTGAATTCTGTTAATTTACCTTTTTTTGGTTGAAGTCTATAAAGAAAACACAGCTTCATACAGATAGGTAACTAGAAGAGAGACAATTTTAATAGCCTTTTCAGAAAATTGTGACTGTTCTTCTTTCACTATTACACTAAACCTTGACAGGTGGTAGTTTCTTAGTTGCAATGTGAACTTTTTATACTCTGCCACATGAAAATGCATTCAGTCTTTTAACCAAACTTAATTTAAAACCTACTGGTTCATTTAGTTAGGTGTCCATTTTATTATATGATATCAAAAATTCACATTTATGAATATCACCAGAGATTATGTCAGAAGAGACTTAAGGCTTTTGTCAGGGTTATAGAGGTAAATACAAATTTTCCAAAAATTTTATTTTTTGTGTCAAAGGTTAACTTTTATCACAGACTATTTCTGGGTTTCTCAACCTCATCATTGTTGTTCTGGGTCTCATAGTTATTTGTAATGGGCACCGCCTGTGCGTAAGAGAACATTTAAAGGCTTTCCTGGCCTCGAATTGGTAGCATCCCCACACCTCGCTTGTAAGAATCGGAAATGTCTCCAAACATTGCCAGATACCATCAGGGAATTAAACAGCTCACAGTTAAGAATCACTCAGTTACTGAACACCATCGGTTGTTTTCTTTCAAGTAAAAAGCACAATTTATTTATTTTGAGAAAATGTCACCAAATGCCCAGTTGGAATAGCCATAATGACATTAAGATATTTACTGCACTGCTAAACTCATCACTCACAGGATTTCAACTCTTTACTGCTCTAATAGGTTGTTAAATTTTATTTTTTTACCAACAGAACACCAAAGGGGTTATACTAATAAAAAGAGCAAATGTGTGGATGCTCTATATAAAAACATAAAAAGAGTGAGCTTACATGTATCAGGAAATATTTACTGGCTCTAGAGATCACAGTTTCTATCTCAATTTGCTTTTTGTATTTCTTATTCTGAATTAAGTAAACTTAAAGACAGCTATTAGAATTATAGTGCATTTAGCATACCTTACTTAAAAATAGGTACTGTCTTGCAAAAATAATAACGGGGTTAGAAGTATTCCATACTTAGTGCTACGTAATCCTAATTGTTGGCTTACAAATATTTGCCTTATGGTCCTTAATAATTCACATTTTCCTGACATGTTTTGTTTATGGAACATGAATTTTACTTTACTGCCTCACAAAGCCATTTTGGACTGTATTAATTTCCTCAGGAAGTATTTTATGTGTAAAAAGCACCACAGGGAATCAATATACTATAACAGCTTTGCAGCTGGCATATTTAAAGGTTTTATAACTTTTCATTGTGAACTAAGAGCCTCTATCTCAGTAAAAGTTCCCTTTATCTATGTAATGGACAACTCAGAGTCAGCCTTGAGCTCTCCTCTTGCTAGGTTTCTGTTTGGACCATAGGAAGTTAGAGAAAAAGGAGAAGAGTGAGTCGTAATGAATTTGAAGGATGGGATGATGAGTTCCAGTTGGACATGACTTTGAGTCATGTGTAAGTAAGAGGAGATGCCCCCTAGAAAAATCTGTTTGTACTTCAAGAAATAGGTGTAACAAATTGGGAGCGAGTCATCAACATTAGGTAGAAATTGAAACCATGGGATTGAATAAAATTGCATGTGAAAAACATGGTGTGAAAAATGACCAGATGAAAAGGCATGTAGCTCTGGGGAGTGCTAACATTTAAAGAACAAGCAGCTAGAGAAGGGAGCATGCTAAAGAGACCGATGGAAGAGAATCAGAAGACAGCTGGCAAGTCCTGAAATGGAAGGGAAAAGAGCTTTGATTTCAGAGGTCACTGAAGTGAGGACTGGAAATATTCATGGCATTTAAAATCATTTGTATCTAGCTTTTCTAAGCAAAAGTTGCTTTTAAGTGAAAAGACTGATTGTATCTTAAGAACTTTTCATTACTCTGGTGTATTAAGCTGGGTTTTGAGAGACAGGGAAAAGGTCTGGCGCAGTGGTGGTGAGCCTGTGGCCCGTGTGCTGCCGCGGGCTGTCTGTATCATTAAGAGCTCTCAAAGGTTTGCCAGCGTTAGTCTAGAGCATTTTTCTTGATTTTGTTTTACTTTTCGGGGGCTCGAAGTTTTATAAGAAAATTATTCAGTTATAGAAAACCCTAGTTTTGAAATGTGACTCATGTGAACTAGATGACTAGTTCACACATTTGTGTGAGGGTCCCTGTGGTGTGAGTGGAAAGGCCTTTGTGCTGACGTGACCTTTGGAGGCGCCCAGCGGTGGACCGTAAATGCTCAGTGCTTCGTAACATTGTGTACATGGAAGCTAGAATTGAGCTGTCTAATTTGAGCTCTTTCATTAGGAAACAGTTGGTTTATTTATCAAATATTTACATTAAATGGGAGAATTTCTAACATGCTAAAATCTGAAACTCCTACATATAACCAGTCTGCGATCATTCATAGGTTTTATTGTTGCTGTTGTTTTTCTTCCTGTCTTCCCCACTACTGTCCATCTCAGCCATTTTATCATCGTTTAATTGGCAGAACAAACACTTCCCAAAAGTAAGGAAAGCAAAACAAACTATTTTTCTTCCGTAAGAAAAGTAAAACAAACTATTTTTCCACTAAAACACTTGTTGGGTGGATTAGTGTAGATGTTCATAAACTGCTGAAACAAAGAAACACAAACAGGTTAACATTGTTTGTCTTTCACATCAAAGTCCAGAGATGAGTATCCAGGCTTTTGGGGCGGCTTTGCTCCGTGCTGTCCTTCAGGGACCTAGGTTCCTATTATATTGTTGCTTCGACACTCTTTACATGATTTGTTGAATTTGGGTCACTGCTATATCACTTTCTAGCCCTTGGGAAAAAAGGTAGTGGGGGCCAAGCAGTTTCCTTCTAGGCAGTGACCCAGAAGTTTCCTGCATCACTTCTGCCTCCAGTCCTCCAGTAAGACCTCAGTCACATGACTACACTCATTGCAAGAGGAGCTAGCATAGGCCTGTAGAAGAAAAAAGGAATGGGTTGTGGAGGTAATTCTTAGTCTGCCAAAGGTTAGCAGAATTAAAACTACTGGCCAAAAATAGATTGGAAGGTTTTTAAAATATTCTCTTTTCTTGAAGTACCAAAATACTTAGGGTAGGAACTAGGAATTGGCTAATTAGGGGATTTTAAATTAAATAGCTATTGACATGCTTACTCAGTTTTAATTCTAATGGTATACATTTAAGTTCTCAAAATTATTTATATAGTAATTCTCTTGAGATCTTTAATATTGAAACCTCTTTTAATATGTTAGTAGTTTCTTTTTTTTTTTTGATACTGGGAATAGAGCTCACAATCTTGCCAGGCAGGTACTATGCTGCTGAGCTATATTCCCAGCCTGTTAATTTCTTGTAGTTAAGCAAAATAATCTTAAATGTCTTTGAATCACACACTATCACATGCAGATATAAAATGGTGGAAATTGTGAGATCATTGATAATGACTTCAGTAACACTGTTTTCCTGTCTCATACTCCAGTTAAAGGCATAAAGAAGCTGAGTACTTCTGAGCTTCAGAGATGGCATGCGACAAGCGAAAGCCTGTTAGAAATGGATGGACATGGAATCAGAGACCTGATCTATTCTTACCCAGTTCATTGAGCCAAAGCTTTCATGGAGATGAGGACATAGTAGGGCTAGATAAAAAAGGGATACATAAAAGTTTTGGGTTTTGTTTTTTTAATGAACTAAGTTGGCATAAATGACAAAACCATTTTTAGAAAGTGGCTCAGGGATGTAAGTCTAAGTCAAACCGCGTAGGAAATAATCAGTTTTTGCAGTGGCCGTTCACATGGGGCTTATTGAGTCTTAAATGCAGGCCAGAGTGTTTTTACTTTTTAAAAAAGAAAAACACACATGAAGAAACTGAGAGAATTCTAAAAGATTGTCAAACCACTTCATGAAAAAGTTATTTTTCATCTCCACTAAAACATCTCCACTATTAGTACATGTAAGTCCTCAAAGTGCAGTCTTCCCAGTGGTAACGTAGAAAAATTGCCTGTACAGTATGTATAGCACTACACAGTATACCACGGAGAACACATGCATGATGCATGAGCTTTCAAGTTTTCCTCATAGTTGGAGATACAGCATGACACTCATTTAAAAAGTACATGGAGCAAGTTATGTGGGTAAACTTAGGTATCTTTATATATCCAGACCCTAAGAGCTGGCTATTATAAGAAATACATTCTTAATGCATGCAACTTGAAAGAAAGTCAGAGTGATTTTAGGCTCTAGTAGTCTCTGGAATGATAGTCTTAAGGTAAAGTAGGTTAGTTGAGGGAACTACAGTACCAGAAGAAGTAATTATAGTCAGCAAAGGTCTAGAGATTTGGGGGTACACATGACATGGTTGTGAAACTACAAAACAAATCATTCTGATAAAGGTAGACCTGTGCACAGAGACAGCACGGCTGACACTTCAGGTCAGAGTATGAATTATTCCTGGAAGGCAGGGGAAAGTTCTTCTTGTTCATTTTTCTAAGGTATTGGAAGCTATTGAAGTTTTCTGAGTAAAAGATGTTAGAAGGACTACTGACGCTAATCTAGTAACTGCACTGAGCATATCAGAAGGAAGTGTATAAAAGCAACCCAATTAAGAATCTGATGTAGCCAAGCATGATGCCACATACCTGTGATCCCAGCACACAGGAGGCTGAGGCAGGAGGATCACAAGTCTCACAGTAAAATAAAGAAAACTGTTACAAAAATAAAGACTAGTGATACTATGAGATCCTGATGGATGTAAGGTGTGAAAAAGTGAAGATGGATTGGAAAGACATTGCCTCAGAGATACGAACTGGGGGAGATGAGAGGAAATGTTCTCTGAAATCTTTAATTACTGAGCTACACAAAGCAGGTATAATGCTTTTGTCAGAAATATTGAATATGAAATAACACTGAGAGTTCAAATTAAAATATACAGTAGTTATTAGAAATGATCTGTGAGTACTTACTTGGAAGTCTTTTGCCTAAAAATTATAAGCCAAGGAAATGTTAATAAGTGGGCCAAGGCAGGAGTAAGCAAAGAATGCAAAGATAAATAATTGATGAATATTTTGTAGAACGGACCAAAAGTACCTACAAAGAAGATGAGGGTAATGCATTCAGAAGGGAACAGAACCAAGCAGTGGTGGTGCACACACCTTTAATTCTAGCACTCTGGGAGACTGAGGAGGATCACAGGGTCAAGCCATTTTGGGAAATGAGAGACCCTGTCTCAAAATAAACGATAATTTTTTTAAAGGCCAGGGATATACTCAGTGCAAAGTGCCTAGATTGAATCCTCAGTAGCATCAGACAGTCAAAAGGGAGGAAGAGGGAGGGAAGACCAACAAAAGAAGCCAGGTGTAGATAAGTATATATTAGTGGTAGGAGAGACCAAGAGCTTTTTCAGAAAAAAGAAGATGGGGCAAAATGCCATGGAGGTCAAGGAGGCACAGACCAACAAAACATTGTATTGGACCGTCAGGTAGGAGAGGAAGAGAGAAAGACAGACACAGACATAAAGATACCTCATTTATTGAGTTCCCCAGGCATTGTAGTACTCTGGATTTAGTTCTCCAGGTGAAACTATGCTCTCGTGTTTTATATGAAGAAACTAATATAGAACTGCAGTTTTCCAGGTTCAGGATTCAAACCCAACTCATGAATCTTTTCAATGTATCGTAGCAGAGGTCATCTGTTTAAAAATAAATAAGTGACGGGTTGCAGTTTACTTTGTTGTCCCTTTAATGTTGCCAGGAGAAAGACAGTCATTTAGCTCCACCTGTAGCAAGGCTTAAGGAATTTGGGGATCTATTTTCATAGATGTTTGGTTAAACAGGCCCTTTGAGAATATCTAATTGTATAGATTAGAAAAATGCAACCTAGAGACCTTAAAGGTGTCCTCAAATGTAGTCAAATCTGGTTGTAGGGGCTTAGAGCTCTGGCTGAAGACAAGTGTTCTTTCTACTCTTGCATACTTCCTCTTTGTGGAAATAACAGGTTGTATTTGTAGGCTTCTCCGGGAGAACCACCTCCCAGGGCTTTTCTCTGCTAAATTTCTATGTCATATCATCTCAAAGGGATAATTTCCCTTGGTTAGAAAATATAAATACACAAATTTGACACAAACCAGTAGTTATTTTTGAGAACAAATTATTATAGGGGGGGTGTCCCTTCATATAGTAAAGAATTCTTATAAACATTTGCATAGAAGAAAAATCATGAGAAAAACCCATATTTAACTTTCCTCACTATCTGGAGTATATACTTGTATAACTTGCCCATTCCTCTCAGTTTATTATCTTGCCAACTTGCACCCATTTATTTAATAACTTACCACAGTAAGTAATTAAGAAGTAAGGGAAACTTGGCTTTATGACTTACCGGTGTTCCTTTGTCTTTGTTTCAGACTTTTGATGAATGTGTAGCTGAGGGCGGCTCAGACTGTGCCCCAGAGAAGCTCTGGCTTCAGATCCCATTCTTCTGTGGCCATAGCTCGGAATGCTGGTAGGAAGATACAGTTCGTTTAAACTGATCATTTTCCTTATTATTTCTATAATCTGCATTTCATAAGTAAGAATATGTTAAATCAAAAACTGCATAGAGGGGAATTAGTGAAGACTAGACCAAAAATAACATGTAATTAATACCTAGTTTTCTGTTTACTTTTATATGCATTTAAAAGATTATTCATATGTTATCTTGACAGTGTCTTTCAGTTGTTTTTTAAAAGAATTTTTTTTGTTTATTTTTGGTGTTCTGTTTTTATTTCAGTAGAAGTCTTAATTAGAGACCAGAGGTCATTTGACAAACTATTTTGTCTTACAATTACTGTTTTAGCCTTGTTACTTTAAGAAGAGGTTTAATAGGTAAATTATTTACCTGGTTTTACTATTAAGTTGATTTTTTAAAGCAGAGCCAAGGTTGTGGTTGTGGTTTAGCCTGCTAATAAACATGAGGTGGAAAATAAAGATATTTTATCTTTAATAAAGAACTTATTTCCTAAGAATGTGTTGAGTGTTTAATAATTGTGCATTTTTTATTCTATTCAATCATTTGAATGGAAAAAATAGAAACAAATTCAAAGTATATTCCTTAAAGCCATAATGAGAAATGCAGAGACTTTCTTCATTATTTGAGATATTATTAGATAACTGTGAAGTATAAAGTCCTATACAGTAGATTTTTTCAAAGCGTTGTGATAGCACAGGAAGAATTAGAAACAGGAAAACCGTCTTCTTGGGTTTTAACCATTTCCGTAGCATAGGGGCTAGCAAACTGCCCCATGCAGACTTCATTGGGTGCCTCCCCCTTTTTCTTTTTGGTAAATAAAGTTTTATTAGGACACAGTCCTATCTGTTCACTTATTATCTGTAGCCACTCTCATGCTGCAGCAGAGTTGTGTGGTTATGATCTAAGGCACACAGTAACCGGGGAGGCCTCAAGTACTTTTTCTTGGCCCTTCGTAGAAAAAGTTTCAAGCTCTGCCTTCACAAACAGTAGAGTACTGCTCTACTGGGCATTTTCAAGACTTTAATTTCTTTCATTTGTTTCATGGAAAACGGAGGCAGACCTTAGAAATCTACTCATTTAATTTCTCCTCCCTCTACCTTTTTTTTAAATAGCTGAGAAAACAAAGTTAGAAACGTGAAGCCGCCAGTTCTAGCTACCTAAAGACAGACTTGAAATTTAAAGGCTTTAGTGCTAAAAAGAATGTACTTAGGGCAAACTCTATTTACTGACATTATAAGTAAAAATAAGAGCCTGGTAATAAAGAGCCCAGTAAAAATAAGAGCCCAGTAGTAAAGCCATTTCTTATATTTTTGTTGTCAGAAACTTCAGGAAGCACTAAGCTCATCAAAAACACTAAATTCACAAGATAAGCACTGAACACAAATGCTAAGATCTTACTAAAGAGCTCTTAAGTCTGGTGTGGTAGAGCAGACATAGAATCCCAGAACCTTGGGACACTAGTGCAGGATTCAGAGTTCATCGCTAGCCTGGGCTTCACATTGAAACTCTGTCTCAAGAGGGGAAAAAGTTCTTAAAATGAAAAAAGAAGTACAAAAAATGAAATTCACTCACATTAAATCATATCTGTTACATATGTGCACTTTGTAAACTGTCCTTAAAGTAAACTTTGATTATATCGAGTCCTCTAGCAAAATCTGAATTAGCACTAGATATGAAAGCAAAGAAATTAAAAACAGATGTGCCTCCCAAAGGCTGATATTAGAAGAGCATTAGAGCTATGAATGTACATGTGTTTTTATCTATTTTCTGCATAATATACAGTTTCAGAGACATAAGAAATACATCACAGATTTCACACCCAAATTTTTAATTCCTTTTCTTTGGTTTCAGGAATGTGGGAAGCAGGTGGGCTATGGATCAAGCCAAGTATAATCTAATTAATGAGTACTTTCTGGTGGGAGTTACTGAAGAGCTTGAAGATTTTATCATGTTACTGGAGGCAGCTTTGCCGAGGTTTTTCAGGGGTGCTACAGAGCTCTATCGTACAGGTATATAAATAAGGAATTTCTTTTTAAAACTGACCCTAGCTTTTTATTTGTTTACAACTTGAAAAATGTATATAATTTGAAGTTTCTTCAGTAAAATATAGTAAATAGCTCTAGAAAGGGAGGTGTATTGTTTCTATTTAGTATTTTCAATAAAAGATAGTGCCTGGCACACAGATAATGTTTGTTAAACATTTTGTACATGAATAAATGTGCATTAGGTGAGAATTAAGAATAGCGGAACAATTCAGACTACAGAATCAGCCTTAGAAATGTGTCATATTCAATAATGCCAGATTTAAAACTGTATATTAAGCACTTAGACGTGCCTCCCACCATTTTATAGTAGGGTTGGGATGAGGGACTGAAACACACTAACATACGCATCGTGTGCAGTGACTGCTACAGTATGTGTGTAAGTGTACCTCAGCGGCCTCAAAGGGTGACATATCTGAAAGTGACCGTCCTGGTCCAGTTTCACTTTTTTCCTTTTTTTTTTTTTTTTACTTTTGGCTGTTGCTTGATCAAAGATGCAATCATAGGAACTCTTAGAATATGCGTATGCCCTACCTTCTATATGATTATAACTAATTATAACAGGTTTTCCATAACAGGTTATGGAAAATTAGAATTAAATTTGGCAGTAGATATTATATTTTAAAAATAAATTAGTCAGCACCAAGCACTGGAAAATGTAGTGCTTGAGGTGACAGTCTGCTGAGTGGTGATCTTTATATTTTCAATGTGACATTTCATTAAGTCTTTAACATGTTAAGGATTTACGTTCTGTAGGAGTAGTTCACAGTTCTGGTATAATTAGTATTCCATATTTGACTAAATTGTATTAATATAATTATATTACCTGTCCAGTGTTAAACCATCTTTTTAAATAAATAGGCATTGATTTTTCATGTGTTCTTTAAGAAATTTTACCTTTTCCTTTTTTCCTTTGTAAGTAGGAAAGAAATCTCATCTTAGGAAAACCACGGAGAAGAAACTCCCAACTAAACAAACCATTGCAAAACTGCAGCAGTCTGACATTTGGAAAATGGAGAATGAGTTCTATGAGTTTGCACTAGAGCAGTTCCAGTTCATTAGAGCCCATGCTGTTCGAGAAAAAGATGGAGACCTCTACATTCTTACGCAAAACTTTTTCTATGAAAAGATTTACCCTAAATCAAACTGAGTACAAGTTGTGACTATTAGATTCTGGAACTAGAACTGTGACCCTGTCTTCACCTCTGTTCTCAGCTTCACATCGTGGATTGCTGATACATGTATAAGACAATTTATATTGGGCTACACTAGAAAACAGTAACATCAAGGAAATAAATACTGGCTGGTATGTCAGTGTTCTAAATTTAAGTTTCAGGCATTTTTCTTCTGTTTAAATTTTCGTGACAGTTACAACCTCCTGTGTGGAAGGGGAAAAAAACTTACATCCCTTAAAATGAACACGTGGCAGGCTAAATACAGTTTCAGAAAGTGGTTCTAATATTTTTGTTTTTGACAAAGCATTTTTTTTCCCAACTGTGACTGAAGATAAATCCATTTGCCACTTCCACCTTCTCCAGAGGTTTGCGTTATACACCTCTTCTGAATAGTGTTAATAACTGTTCGGCCGCTTGTGCTTTGTTTCTGTGAATCATGTCTCATGAAATTTGTTAGAATGTTTGATCATGTTGCTGAGAAATGCTTTTGGTATAGTTGGATTTGCCCGTATTAATGTAGGTCGGTTTGGGGTTTTTTTGGGATGATGATCATTAGTGTTTAAAATCCAGTTTAAACCATGAATACTGTAAAAAGATAAAGAGTCAAAACAGTATTTCTTCTTCCTGTCTCCCCAGTATCTAAGATTGGAAGGTAGCTCTAAAAAGGTTGGCGTTAGCTGAAGTTTCGGTGAAGACTTCCACACGTTACTGTCAGAAGAGTGAGTTTAGTATTTGTTTCTCCATGAGTTATCTGTAAAGCTGTAAACTGAAGTATCAGTGACTCTATATTATGACTCCATTAGTGAGCTGTGGTATGGGTAGGATTTTCCTACTTCTTCTGTACTTTTACCTGTAGACTATTTTTACTGAGGTGCTTTATAATGTGTTTTAAAGCGTTGCATTTACAAAGAAAAGGAAAAATGCTGTAAATATTGCATATTTTATGTATTTGGACCAAAAAGTTACAAGTAATTAGACAAAAGTGGTTTTCCACCAGTTTTACTATGTCAAGTAAAATCATCTGACCCGCTCTCTTGTATTTCTCATTTAACTTTACTATTAAGAAATCACTAAAGTGAAGTTCCATAACCTTTCGATTTTGATAGAATACATTATTCATAACTGGAGACAGTAGCTATAGTGGAAAGAGTACTAGATAAGGAGTCAGAACAGTTTAATTTGTGCTCCTGGCTCTGCAGTTTCCAGCTGTGTGTTCTTGGGCAAGACACTTGGCCTCTCTTTGCCTCAGTTTCCTCATCTTGAAATGAGGATCATAATACCTGCTGTACCTACCTCACAGGGCTGTTGTGAGGACTAGTGAGATGGCGTGTGACAGCACTTTGTAAAGTGGGACATAAGCGCAAGGTGTTATTATAGAAACACCTTTGACGCAGAGTTTCGTACCATTCATTTTTTAACAAAGAAAAGGAAATGTCCACTTTTAAGCTTTGTGAAAAAAAGTTTATCTTGATATAAATCTGTGTTTGATAAATATCTTGAGTGTTCTATCTTCCATGTTTCAGCGGCTATTGAAATATGAAACACCTGCAAACTCTTATGAGATTCATGAGCAGCTGCTCGAGCTTAGGAGGTTCTGCTGGAAATAAACTTCCGTTAGCTGAGTAGGGGCAGGGAAGCCTTGCTCTTCACATTTTAAAGATTTTTCTTTGGGTGGTTTACTGTGCGCTACCATTCAGAAATGGTAGCTATTTCCTACCTATAGTTTTTAAAGTATGTTTTTCAGAATTTAATTTTCTTGGGCATTCTTTATCTTCTTCCTCCTCTAAAGAATTTTAGAAATATTTTCTAAAAAGATAATCTTTAATATGTTTAGTGTAAGTAAATATTTCTGAACAAGGCTTCATCAAATTAAGCATCTTAGGGAGATTGCCTTAAAGGTTCTTGTGTGGGAGGGGAGAAAGGGGAGCACCATGTATCAAAATATTTATAAACTAAAAAGCTAAGGGGATAACAGAAACTTTTTACAACCCTTTTCCCCAATAATATAAAAATACTGAGAGAACATAGCCAGGCATACTTTCCTTATTTGGTTTTCTTTTTCCTTTCCTTTTTTTTTTTTTTTTTTTCCTTTTTTAAAAAATTAACTTTTACAGGTTTTTGCTGAAAACATACACAAATTGTTTCTTTGCCCAAATATAAAACACCACTTTGAGATGGGTTGTTTTACATTTACTTAATAATGAGCAAACCCAGATTATTCTTGGAGTACATGCTAAAAGTTTGAGGTGCATTAACTCTGAGGTAGCTAGACTAGCACTTAGTACGCTATATCAAGGGTCAGTACAGTTTTGCTGTAAAGGACCAGAAAATAAATATTTTAAATCTCTGCGCAGCCATACTGCTGTCATTCTTACAAAAAAGCAGCCACAGATGCTGGGGAAATAAATGAGCATGATTATGTTCCAATGAAACCTTATTTACAAAAACAGATGACATGCCAGATATGGTCCATGAGCTACCAGGCTGTGCAGCTAGAGAAATCATTATTTATAGAGAAATCACTTTTGTATCTTACTCTAGTGGCCTGAAAGAGTTTATATACTTACAAAAGTATAACTTAAATCCAAAGAATAGCTTTCTGATTCATGCAGTCTCTCCCACAGATTCATTAACTTCTGTGTATATTGCTTCCACATGGACATGTTTTCTTTCCCAGTTTAACAGTTCAGAGTAAGTGTTTGAAGTGAGGAGGAGGATTTCAAGGGGGTTAATGGCAACATGTCTGTAACTGTAATAAATTTTCTTTAAACATGCCAAAAAACAGAATAGGGGCATTTATTTTATCTTCAGAGTGGGTCAGAAGTGTCCTTTCTGAAGACTGAAAAAATGGGGTAGACTTCATTCTGTCTGGTGCAGTATAGTCCTAGGGTCTGAGTCCTTATAAGAACATAACTTTACAATCAAGTAAGTAGAAACACTGAGACAGTATGTATTTTTTTTTTAAGTGGCAAATGTGGTTATCTTTTTTCAATCTCAGCGTTTTTTCAGTATTTTGACCATAAGGGGATTTTTTTTATAATAAAAAATAAAATAACCACTTTGAATTTTAAAGATAATGTTAAGTGTGTACACACATACACACACACACATACATATATATAAATCTGAATCTATGTTTATTTCCTAAAAGAGAGAAAAAAAGCTTTTTGTTCAACTTGTATCAACTCCTGTTTTCTAATTATTGTGAAATGACAACTGTTGATAAATTATTGTGACTGTTTTAAAATGTAATGGGGAAGATATATTTTTATGTTACCCAGCGCTTTAACCTGTAAATTATCACTTAAATATATCTGACAGCAACATATGAAAAATTGCATGGAAATTACTTTTCTATCAGCCATTTGCATTCGTGCAATTTCTAAAATATTGGGTGCATCTGACTTCCTTATGAGTAGATTTAAACTATTGAAAATTAGAATTTAAACGTACTGAGTTTTAAATTTCCAATTTTATTTTCTAAAAATTTAGTTAATGCCTATAATTTAAAATCTGTTGTTCTTTCTCTTTCTATATCCCATTGGAAATTCCTATAATTGTCAGTGTCCTCAGTGATTTACTAAACAGTATTTGATACTGCAGATGATTTGGTCATTGTGTTTGCATAGTTAAAATAGTTTGTAGACAGTGATTCTCTTTTGATAAAATTAAATAAAAATTCTAAAAGCACTAGAAAAATTTAAAGGCTGGTTCCCATATGCATACCTGGTATTTTAATACTTTATACTTAAATTCTGTACATAGAGAACATCTGTGTAAATCATCTAGTTGGATTTTCCCTTTCATTGGTCATTGTCAAACACACCTACGGTCTTAGAATCCTTTATTATGAGAAGTACTTGGTATTCTAACCTTTTTGGAAGTTTGACTTTAAGAGGCCCAAGTGTTTCTGTGGTTTAATTTGAAATTTACTTCTTAAATTAGCATAAGTTACTTTCTAAGGAAATGGGGTAGTTGCTGTTAAGTTTTGCATCCATGTACCTGATGCAAAGGTGCTGTGTGATGCCAACCGAACTGCTCGTCAAGCAGCCTTTTGAGGGGAAAAGCAGTCGTGTTTCAAATGTACTGCCCAGGGCAGCTTCGCGGGAGCAGAGCTTGTTTTTTGATCCAGGAGTGGGAATTTTAGAAATTGAAATGTGTGATCATTTAGTCAGATTTTAAGTTTCTGCAGCTTTGTGACCTTTGCCTTGCTATTTATGACAAAGCCCCTGATAATGATCTCTTTAAAACTCATCCCTGGCAAGCCTATGCCTGAGGGACACTGGTGCAGTCTATCTGATTTTTTTAGACAGCTTTTGTAGATTTTGGTTGAGAGTCAGGTGTGTGAGCCTCTCTAAAGCAGTATCGAATTCAATTTAAAGAAACATGGATTGTATGTTTTACAGACTTTTATAAATAGCTAAACAATGCCTTCTCCTCCCGCACAGTCATGTTGGAAGATGCTCATTACTGTCCCCCTTCGACCCTGCCTACCCTCAGTTGATTTATGCAGAACTGGTTCCAATTTGAAACCATTTTGTCACACCTGTTAGAGAGATAATCACTCCTTTTCCTCAACATTCCGCCAGCTTTCCTGAGTGTTTCAGTTGACTACCTGATTAAAAAAAAAAAAAAGCTACAAAATAAACACTCAGTGGGAAGGGGAAAAGTGGCTTGGTGTCCTGTCTTAATATTTTCTTCTGTGGCTTTGACACTAGTGGACATTTTCCAAGTTGACTAATTGTTCAGCACCATCACCTTAACTCCGATATTGCTGACACCAGGAAAGCAAGTGTCCTCATTGGCTTACAGTGATTTCATGGCTTACTTGTGACACTGTATCTGAACTGACATGCTTCTGCTGCTCTTGCTTGTACTTAATCCTTGGTATTGAAATTTCAGAGAGAAAATGTCTTAAGTTATACTTAGGGTGTACACTTAACCAGAAGAAACAGGAAAACAGAAGGAGAGGGCCGTTAGAATAAAAAGGAAATTTCAAGGAAAAAAAAGTTGATCTGATTAACCTTTATTGTAGAGTTTAGAATGTCTGTAATGTTTGTTTGAGAAAATGTTACCTGTGGTGATTGTTATTTTGACCTTTAAAGGAGAAGAATCTCAGTTCCCAGCCATTGGCTCATTGTTCTGCATAATGGTGGATTTTTAAAAAATTCTGTATTCGATTGAATAAAATACTGGTTCAGTGATGAAATTTCAAAACAAAATTTGATCTGTTCCCACAAAGGCGTAACAGGGCATGGATCTGAGCGACAAATGGGCCTGCATTTAGCAGTGTGACTTTAGTGGACAGAAATAACAGGATTGTTGTAAAGGTTGGATAGGATAGGTGTAAAGTCCTGGCGCATACTAAGAACCCACAGCATTTATAAAGTAGTTTGGAATGTTGCTAGGAAGCTGATCTCCCTTCTCATGCCACAAGATCTTAATTTTGTCACTTCATAACAAGATATTTTGATGAATACGAATGAAGGCAGCTGAATGCTTTTTTTTTCTGTTAGTGCCTCCTCACTTACAAACCTGAAGCATAGATGCTCCTGGTTCTGAAACTGTTCTCTGTATGTGCAAATCTCCCATGAGAAAAGGGGAAAAAGGCAGGACTTGCTTATTCCCAAACTGGCTTTGTTCATACTTCACTGAATTTGAACAGTATAGGCCATCAAGTGGTACCCATATAACACTCAGAATACTGAGAGTAGAACAGTTTGCACTCTTTCAAGAGAAAGAAAACTCCACCTCTGTTGCTTGCTTTAGAGTTGTAAATGAATTGATCTTGTTGGAATTCGAGGTTTGGGGAAATATCTGAAAAACAAATTTGGGTACAATGTTCGTTGCCTAAACCTGTATGTTATCATGGTACTATTAATATTACTGACTGTCTTTCTTTTTTTTTGGTACCGGGAATCAAACTCAGGACCTTGCGCTTGCCAGGCAGGCACTTGTGCCCCTGAGCTATATCCCCAGCTCTACTGGCTGTACTTTAAAGCAGGAGTTCTATTTTCTGAATTTTCCTCCAGTAGGAACAAGTACAAAAATGCAAACCTCGAATCACTGTCTGCCCATGTTCTTTCTCCGACAGGATCTCCCTGATTGCTGACTGTACCTTGTCCTCATTGCACCGTTTCACCTTCGTTGCCAACAGCACGGCAGAGGCCCCTTGCAACAAAACAAAAAATAGCAAACAGTGTAGCTACCTGAAGATGCCTGCCCCCTTTTGTATTTCAGGAATAGCCAGTGCAGCCGACAAGGAAAGATTTTATTAAAATCACTGTTCTCTTTATGGTTTGCCTTTTCTTCTAGTAGCATGGACTAAGCCAGTAAGACAGTTTTAAGATATATCAAGGGCCTATTTAGTGTACCGTGAACTCCTAGGTAATATATTTAGTGCTTAAAACCTGTTAAAGGAAACAAAAAAGATGATCCCTAAGAGTTAGCTACCCATTCCTTCTCCTGCTCGATAGCTCTGTGTTGAAAGGAGC